AATTCTGCTAGAGACAGAAATCATTACCCTAGCACTGCTATAATAAATAGATTTGCCTTTTTACATTTTATCATTTCATAACAAAAAGTACATGACTCATTTAAAATTAAATAACGTATACAATCAGTGCAAATGAAGTTTAGCAACTCATTCCGACTCATGTTAATTCACAGGTTATCATCAATTAGCTATCACATCACTGCAGCTCATGTAAATCCTTTGTTAACATCATGTCCCGCACTGACATACATTACTAAGGGGCAGAAGGACTTACAGGGCAATTTTACATCTTAATGAGATCTAAAATGTCTTGATACAGCAAAAATGTAAGCAGCAGGTTATTTGACAGCACATAGACACCAATCTAGAAGCTAAGATTTATCCGGGTATCCTCATTTAATAAAAATGTTGAGCACTTTCTGCTTATTAAAAGTGCACCTTTTTTGGTGAAAATCAATTTTTATAATGCCCATAAATTTGTGATAAATGTATCACAATGTATTGCAAAATCTTCAGCTGTGAATGACCATAACAAATTTGAGCAAGCTGTTTGACCACCACCTCGCTCTCTCCAGCACGTACTTATCTAATGTGAAACATTCCCCTAGAAAGAACAAAGCTATCACAACGGTAACACAGTCAAATGAATACAATATATCTATAATAAACAACTCTTCTTACAAGGACTGGTCAGTCAGATGGGCAAAAAAACCACATCATTTGTTCTAATTCACTACTCTGATCCAAACTGCTGACTTCTGAGCTACAACTAAAAGTTGGCCCACTAAAGAGTTAAGCCTCATCATGAAAAGCTGATTATACCATCCATCTTTAACATTTCTAAGAATCTCATACCCATACACTACAGAGCTCTACTGCATTTTTACTTATTCAGTGACATTGTGCCACTTTTACTCACACTGAGTAATATCTTGTTCATTACGCTTACCGGCATCGAGGTGAAACACCAGCTAACCCCAAGTAAAACTGACAGAATTAGGATTGAAAACACTGCCTTAATTTTTCCATCTGCTGCAATAATTAAAAGCTGTCAGAGAATTGCCTATAGACTGATAGAATTCACTGAAAACAAAAATTCACAATGATCCTTGAGTGTGAAATACACTGTAACAATTATAAAAGTCGAAGTTTGAATAAACACTAATTTGGATTTTTTGAAAGAGGTATATATCAAATCAGAGCTTCAACACTCCATTTGAAAGGCTGACGTGGAAAAAAAACAACCCAAAATATTTACAAGTACTTCCCCAGAAACACATTTCTGTAAGATTCACTAATATCAAAGATCCATACTTTTGGTTTTAAAAATTTATCCTGAGATGTCAGAACCAGACAACAAAATAACTGAAAACAAAGATTAAATCCAGCAACTCTAATACAGTCACAGAAAAGACAACATTCCGAAGTGTTTGGGGTTGAATGCTTACATTTGTTTGGTGGTGGTTTCTTTTTAGAAAGAAAGAAGAAATGTAGTATAAAAACTCCAAACACTTCTTATGCATAAAAACCAACACCTTAGCTCCTGAAGCATGCAGAACAGCGTAAATTTAGAATAATGTAATATTCAAGGTGAGTATGCAGTATCAAAATTAAGTCTAGTTAAAAGTTATTTGCAATATACCTGATGCAATACAATATAAAACTTGAAGCTCTGCGGCAGCAGTTTTCTCTTATTGATTCATGGAACATGCCATCAAAAACAAGCACAGGCTGATCACAGAACTGAAGACCCACAGGACCAACAGTCTGAGATGGATCTCAAATTCCCACATGGCATCAGTGAAAAAGAAATAAGATCAGCTTTTGAACTGCAAAACAGACGTACTTCAGTAGTGAAAAAACAAAGCATAAATATGTACCTAAAAAACAAAAAATGCTGCTAAAATTACTTTTTGTTTAAGGCTCAGATTGCTGACTAAAGCATCCTATTTTCTTGAGAAAGTCTTCTAGTTCTATTTTCATTGGCAAGGAGTTTTAAAACATTTATGTCAGAGCAGAAAACTATGCTCACACAACAACTTTCAAACCAGATCTTGCGCTAAATTAATTTACATTATTTTATATGTTAATTTATCCACATTATGAGAAAAGTTTCCCGTATCATTTATTTACATTATCTAAAAACATCAGTAAGTGTGTAAGACTAACTGCTATATCTGCATTACATGTATTTGTACATTTAAACAAATAAAATAACTATATTTTATCAAACAGACTAAGAATAGGATAAAATATCACTGTGAGTTAAAGCAAATATGCCCCTTGGACACAAGAATTAGCTTCCAATTCTGCAGGTTTCACCTCATAACACACAGAAAAAAGCAAACTGATTAGCTGCAGGGATTTATAAAGCTGGGATTTTCTTCCCTTTCCCTTCTCTCTCCCACCTCAATGGCATTTCTGCATCTCTAGTTCATGCTTTAACAGATACATACACTTTTATGTCTTTCAATCAATACACCTGAGTATCTCTTCTTAGCATGGCACTGTCATTCACCCTGGCTCACAAGTGAAGTGCTCACTGTTATGATGCGTTTGGCTTACGAGGGTATGAAAGAATAATAGTATCATTCAACAAAGGAGTTTGGCAAACTCTGATTTACAGAGCATCCCATCTCGTCTCCACAGAAAGCTGGAGTACTACTGGAATATACTAGCATTAAGTTGCGTTTTGATAATTTATATTTCAGTTCTAGCATATCAATTCCCTCTTTAAATAAAATTATGACTGTCATCATTTACTGCTAGGATCCCTTTTTAGATCCCATTAAGGCTAATTCCAAACGAAACAGAATGGAATTATTTAATACAAAAAGTCTCCATTATTTATTCCTTTCATAAATCATTTAAAGACTTTATGTCAGCAACCGAAAACATTCATGTTGATCTCACAAAGAGCAGACAATATATTATGCATGCTGCCCACTGATTTATCCTTTCAGAAAGTCTCTTGCAGGCCACTTGCCAATACTGTCACTTGCTGCCTAAAATATAAATAGAAGTGCTTCTAGAATATACATATATAAATAAATAATAATTGCCTATGGTTCAAATCAGCAGGCTGTGAAAACCCACATCCCATGTGATATCACCTGGTACCAGACAGATTCAGAGAAATGTATTTTTGAGTGGACTGCTCTGAAGCAGTACATGCACTACTGAAGAGTCTTCCTAGACTCTTTCTTAGGCTGCATTATCTATGGAAGTATTTGGCTTTCATCGTATTTAAAACAAAATATCATCCCACATTTACACACATGTACATTGTCCATGCAAATAGCAATTCAATTTTTTTTAAATCCTATTTGGTTTTCAATCAGAATGATTTTGTAGCAAAAAGCCTTACAATACTGCCTTTCCAGGAGACCAAGGATTAACATCACATAACTTCCATGAGACATTGGAATAGGTTGCCTAGACAAGTTGTGGCTGCCCCTTCATTGGAAGTTTTCAAGGTTACAGTTTTGAGCAACTCGTGCAAGATGTCCCTGCCCACAGCAGGGAAGCTGGACTAGACAACCTCTAAAGGACCCTTTCAACCCAAACCATTCTAGGATTCTGAAGTCTATGAGTGGCCAGTCTATCAGTAGCAAGGTTTACCTAGAGAGAGCAGTTAAATATCTGAAGGTAAGAACTCCTCAGGTTTGGTTCTAGGAAAAATTCGTATTTCAAGAAGGCAACTTCATATGTAGAAGCAACGTCAACAAGTTCCACATGATTATCCACGTGTGAAATATTCATGAACAAGCACTTACAGAATCTGCATCTTAGCATTTACAAAAAGAATCATTTTTGCCTGCATTACTTCACAAGTACTGGAAAAGATAGGATGAATTTTAAGTTGTTCTAAAGGCAATTTTTTTTTGGCACTGTAATAACCCCACTGAAATAATGGCCAGTTATTTTCCAATGAATAGTGCAACTCTGTTGTAAGCCAATTATCAGGAAAAGCCTAAAAAAACTCCACCCAAAACAAAATTCAACTAAATGAAAAACTCCAGCAGCAACAGCTTGTACTGTGCTATTTAACTGGCTTTACTCCAGTAGTTTAAAACTTAAGAGTCAGCTTTAAGTAGAAATGAAGTAAGTGAAAACTGGGAAAAAAATTCCACACCTACAGCTGTCACCTAAAATTAAACACATTTCTCTCCAAATCCCAAGTGTGCTTTTGAAAAGGTGTCATGTGATCATATTTAGCTACTACACTGTAATTAAGAACTTTTCATCCACAATGAATAAACTAAATTCTTTCACTGAAGCATGTTAAAAAATTAACAAAGGTGAAAACCAGGTGTAATTACCTACAAGTCTCTAATTAGTAACTATTTCATTTCAAGTACAACTTATAACTCTGAAACATTTTCTTTTGCCCCTGTTATAATGTGCAACATAGCTAAAGAGAAATGAGCTACACGTATTTTGGAGGGGCAAAAACCCCACCGTAAAATAGACAGACTGATTAGATAGAATAATTCCGTGTAAAGAGATGTGTGCTATTGGAATAGTACCAAGAAGATGACTTGTGCAAAACAGTAGGTGATCTTAAACATCTCCAAGGAGATTGATTAAATGGCTCCAACCCAGTCTAAAATGCTTATCATTTTACTGAGTTATGCAGCAAACATGACAGCAATATTCCATGTCTGTGGAAATTTTGGTTTTTTTCAAACAACTGAGTCAATTTTAAAAGTTCTTATAGCACATAAATTTTAAGGAACCAAAAACACTTTAACAAAAAAGAGTAGTTACAAAGTAGTATAATGTCACATGCCATTCCCCATTAAAGACATCCTGTGTTAATTAAATGTACTTATTTCAACAATCACGACAAGGCATTAAGATTAGATAACTGGACAGTATTCTGGAAAGTTTACTTATATTGTTACTTGTATTAACATAGTTACATAAAGGGATTAAATATTTCTGACATAAATAAAATAAAGAGCATGCAAGAAAATAAAAAATAAAAATGTACTTACGAAATCAAAGTCTCCATCTTGAGGGACCTTCCAGTTATCAGGGAAAACGTTTTTGGATATGTGGTAAGGTTCATGCATGTTCTGATTACAGTTTTCAGGGCTTTTATTCTTGGAATCTTGTTTATCAAAGTAGTCCATGAAAGAAGGTCTTTGAACTTGCGGTGAAGTAGCATTTCCTTAATTGAAAGAAAAAGTAAAAATCATTTAAAGATTTAATGCATTATAAAATAGGCTTCACTTATTAATTTTCTTGGATTTTGTAGCAACTAATACAGTCATCTGTGATGCAAGCCTCTGTTTGTCCCCTGAGGATCTTTGGCATAAAGCTCATAGCCGAAGAATGATATTTTTGTAGCAAGATACAACGTGGAGAAATGTTCAAGACATTTCAGAGTCGCACACACAAATAATATTAGAAGTTACTTCATGCAATATCTATTTGTTGTTATAGAGACTGAACAACACAAGGTGCTAAGCATCCCTTTGGGTGCAGAATGCCCCTACCTTCAAGGCCTAGTCCACAGGCACTTTAAGGAAAGGAACAGAGTTTCACCAAAGGTGTGATTTAAAAATTATTTAGAAAAAGAACTTCAAAAAACAACCCCACAAATCATGTCTAGATACTGCTTAAATAAATTCATTGCCAATGAAGGTTCTCGGCAAATTATGGGGTCATACTCTACAGATGGTTGCAAAGCACCCTGTCTCCATGGTGTGGAAACCCTGGGGGATTTTCATCACCATCCATGTATCTACAAAGGATTTGCAGAGCAGACTAAGATCAGCATGAACTCCTGTTCTATTATTCTTTTCACGAAATTAAAAGTAAAAAAAAAAAAAATTATCTTCCATCCTAAATGACTGAAATTGTTTTCATTTGTGAGATTTCAAAGCAAATTAATTACTAAATAGTCCAATAAATAAACATAATTGTCCCCTCACAGACCATATTCTGCATAGCACTGACGCATGAAAAGTGTGTCAATGCTTACAGCTTACATTGACTTGCTTACAGCATAATACATTCAACAGGGAGAAATATGAAATATATTTTCACAAATAAAATATTAAACAGGACGAAATATATAAATAACTATGGTAGGGGGAAAAAATCTAACACCAAAAAACAGACAAAACTATACTTTTAAATTATAAGCATAATAAAATAATAGGATTTTTTATTTGATCTACTTGTTTTAACAAGTGAAAAGGTGAACCACTAGAAATATCTTTTGAGCTTTTGTTTAACGTGATCACTATAACTTGCGAATCCCCTTATCTGGCTTCACACTTATTTTTATTCATTCATTAAGTAGGGTTTTTCCCCCCCTTCCACCTCTTATTTCATCACCTCTTCCCAGTCTCTTTGTCTAACAATTTTTTCATTTCAATTCTGCTGCATGACTTTCTTTTCATTAATGTTTATTTTTGTACTGCCATCTTTTCACAGAATCATCAAGGTTGCAATAGACCTTCAAGATCATCTAGTCCAACTGCTGACCAAGCACCACCATAATAACCAGAAAACCCTATCCCCAAGTGCCACATGCAGACACCTCTTAAACACTCCCAGATATGGTGACTCCACCACCTCCCTGGGTGGCTTATTCCAATGCCTAATCACTCTTTCAGTAAAAAAAAAAAATCCTAATATCTAATCTGAATGTGCTCTGGTGCAATTTGAGGCCATTTCCTCTCTTCCCTTCACTTGAGACACGGCAGAAGAGACCGACCTCCACCCGGCTAAAACTTCCTTTCCAGTTTTCAAATATTGTTTCTAATCCCAGTTCATAGTTATCACTACTCATTATCTTTTAATTAATAACAACCATGCCCATAACAATTTAGTGAACTAAACTTCAAGTTGAATTTAACAGACCAGACAGAAGATGATGCTTCTTCAGAATCTCCCAAGTTTGCCCCCACCGAATGCAAGATCAGCTGAAGGAAGTTTCTTGACCTCCTGAGTCTGGGACTGAGGAAGGGATGAGAAGTAAGCAGCAGGAATGCCAAGTAACTACAGAAATAATACTAAAGGGCAAAAATCATAGAGTCATAGAACGGTTTGGGTTGAAGAGGGCCTTTAGAAACCATCTAATTCCAACCTCCCTGTCATGAGCAGGGATACCTTCTGCTAGAACAGGTGCTTAAAGTCCAATCCAAACCAGCCCTAAACACTTCCAGGGCTGGGGCATCCACAGCTTCTCTGGACAACCTGTTTCAGCATCGCACCACCCCCACAACAAAAAATTTCTTCCCAATATCTAATCTAAACCTGCCCTCTTTCAGTTTAAAGCCATCACTCTCACTAGAGATCACTGTCAAATGTTCCTCTCCAGCTCTCTTGTAGGCTCCTTTTAGGTACTGCAAGGTGCTGTAAGATCTCTCCAGAGCATTCTCTTCTCCAGGCTGAACTACCCCAACTCTCTCAGCCAGTTTTCATATCAGAGGTGCTCCATCACTCTAATCATTCTCATGGTCCTCCCCTGGACTCGCTCCAACAAGTCCATACCTGTCTTTTTTGGGGGGGCCCCAGGGTTGAACACAGTATAATGGGTGAGGTCTCCTGAGAGCTCAGTAGAGGGTAAGAAAAATGGAAAAATCTAAATGTTAGAAAAGCACACATTTAGAAAACAGATCCAAGAGAAAGTAGTAGTATGAAGGAGGTGGAATTAAAAACAGAAATACAATGCATTTTCTTACTACAAACTTTTCATTACTGCCCAAACCCCCTGAAACTATTTTTACCAAAAAGATAGCCTTTCACAATCAATTTTTTTCTCCTGCTGAGATGGTTGTACTTACATTCCATCCCTGAGACATACTTATAAACAAAAAGATTACCAGTGTCTCAGTTCAAAACTCCAAGTACCAAAATGTTGGCACGTTACAGGTAAGACAGTCTCCCTCCTCTCCTGTAACAAAAAACACTAAAGATTTTCCAAGCACTGCTCTTATGATTTAAAACTATTTTAAAATATCTTCCTTAGACAAGTAATAGAAGACTGCCCGCATACGTAAAACAAAGCAACCCCTACAAATTCCTTTTTATCAAATGCATATTATGGAAAGTGGGTCAACAGGACCAAAATTACTCCAAAATAAGAAAAATGGATTTATTTTACACTTTGAGGACTTGTTTTATCTGTTTTGGTAAATAAGAATTTAGAACTTGCTTCTGATTTCAATTTAGCATACAGTTAGCTAACCCATTTAAAAGAACAAGAGCTGCTTACCTTCACTGCAAATATAAAAACTCTCACACAAAACCAGAAATACGACTGCAGAACAACAGGACCAGAGGTATTTCAAGGTTTGTGTGGGTTTTTTTCTCCAATGTTAAAAAAAAAAAAAATAAAGTATTTAGTTAAAGATTTATTTGCAAGGTTTTATTTTACTTTTACTTTTTCTAACATTCATGAACAACAGAGTAACATCATTTTCTCAACTGTCTTTCAAGAATCATTAAAATTAGAAGTACAATACATAAAGATTCCTTTAAGAACACTTAATTTACTCATCTATCCATAAGTTACTTTTTATACAAGCTATATATTTGCCACAAAAAATCTGCAGCACACTCAGTATCACTCCACATTTGCACTAAAAATCTACTGTGCAAATAGCCTGTTCCATTCTAGGAGGATTTGGATTTTTCAGCTCATCTAATTATTCTTTACTTTCAACAAGCAATCACAGAATTACAGAATATGCTGAGCTGGAAGGGACCCACAAGGATCATCAAGTCCAACTCCTGGCCCTGTACAGGACCACCCCCAAGAGTCACACCATGTGCCTAAGATCGTTGTCCAGACACTTCTTGTACTCTGCCAGCCTTGGTGCAGTGAGCACTTCCCTGGTGAGCCTGCTCCAGTGCCCAAACACCCTCTGGCGGAAGAACCTTTCCCTAATATTTGAACCTAAACCTCCCCTGACACAACTTCAGGTCATTCCCTCCAGTTCTGTCACTGGGCACCACAGAGAAGAGATCAGTGCCTGCCCCTCCTCCTCCCCTCATGACAAAGTTGTAGATGATCATGTTTAAAAATGTTTGTCCCAGTTTCAGTGTTTCTCTTATCATCCCTACACTCACCTACTGCAAGACTTCAAGATGGCTTTGGGGAGAAAACCATAAGAAAATAGTGGTGAGAAATTGCTGGAACACAGAGAACACCATGGATGCTGCTCAGCAATACCCCTCATAGGAACACAATCAATAGCGATGTCCCCAAATAGTTACGTAAGCAAGTTTCTTCCAAAAAGTACGCTCAATAAAATAAATGAGGCAACAACATAACACAACACCAACGCTATTACACTGTTTCAAAGACATATCACAATTAAAATAAATAATTCTGAACACACATTTCAAAATAAGGAGGAATTTACATGCCATTCTAATGCATGTTTTGATAAAATTCAGTTGATGTCCCCTATAAAGAAAAAATATTTTTTAGTGCTGTATTTCCATCAGGAAAGTTTTATATTAGTATTACATTGATTTTAAACCGGTTGAAAAGTTCTGCTACTAGTTACCAAGTAAGGTTAGCAGATGAGGGTGTCCATCTCCTACAAATGTGAGTCTCCCACTATAATTTCCTGGGAGGGCACAGGTGGTGATATTTTGTTTGTTTGGCATTTTGGAGTGGGGGATTTATAACTTCCTACAGGAAATCTCTAAATCTTTCTCTCATTCTATTACTACCAGGGCACTGGACCTCTTCTGCAGTTGCATATCTACAAAGGAAAGATTTCTTTCCTTTGCCAAAAGCCATGAGCTTCCACAACTTTCTCCATCTTGGGGATCTCCATCCACCACTCAGCTGAGGAACATTTCCAGCTGCTGCCTCTTCAGCAAAGTTAGGGATCAGGCTCTCCCATGTGAAGCGCTTCTGTGAACATTTTGTCACTATTTTTATTCCCTCAAAATATACTACTTTGTCACTATTAGAGTCAGAAGCTGCACAGCAATCAGCTTTTAGCCTTCTTTGGACCTACTACCTACCTACCTACCTACTCTCCCCCCTACTACAAAGGCTACCATGGCTAATCATCATTTACTACTCAGGCTTTATATTCTGTACATTCCTACCATTCCTATCTCACCTTGCAAGTTGGCCTACAACAGAGTAGCAGTAATTCTCCTGGGAAATGGTAGACAGGAGCCTAGAATTTTGACCTCAATCTCACTTAACAGTGAATTACCATGTAAAGGCCGCCACAGCCACTTCCTTCAGCCAAATTTTAAGCAGAAAATTGTGCCTGTATTTTATGAGTGGGCAAGTTCTGCTGCCAACACATGCCTATTAGACAATAACCTCAGAGAATTAAAGATCAGCTTACTCAGAACCACAAGGAATCATCAGCAGAAACTGGATCCTCAATTCCTTAGGCCAGAGCAGTTGGGAATCTATCAAAGGGTGGATCTAAGAAATGTTTGACTACAGAGAGCTGTGTAACAAAGTGGCTACTGAGTTCACAGCTTTCATATCACAGTGACTCATACACCCAAGTCTTCATTTAATTTCAGATTTCAATCAGCCTTTGGTTTGTTTTATAATATACCTATTTATCAGAAATAACTGCAACTGTCATTTAAACAGAAAATCCACATTCAGCCAGCTGAAGCCTTCAGAGACTTTTTGAAGGACTGTAAACTCAAGTTCAAACAATTTTTCATGGGGAAAAGTTTCTGGTATAAAACATTGCTTTGCTTCTTGAGAATAAGACTTGTAAAACTGGTTTAATAACTTTTGTTCTATTTTTCCAGCTTCCGGAGAAAAGAAAAAAAATGTTCAATGACATTGCTATTATAAACTCATTAGTCCATTCCAGATGAGTTATACTTTATTTCTGCTTTCAACAAAACAAAAAAAATCCATGTTCAACTAGCATTTTGCAACAGCTCTGAAAGCAGAATTGCTAACATCATTATTAAAAAAAAAAAAATCCCATTTTTAAAATATACTACTAGAAGCAGTATAAATGAACAACTTTATTACCATCACAGGAGAAGGTCTGAGGAGTGAAATAGGCTTGTAAACATCTATCATCTCTTTACATACACATATAAAGGAGTAAAGCACTAGGATCCCTCCATACGGCATCAAGTAAACCATTTGACTGTGGGCATAGTAAAAATGCTTGAACAAAACTACACCAGTGCAACATCAATGTCCAGGCTGCAGCCCCACTAAAACCAGCCCATAATTAAATTTCCTCGCTGAATTCCTACTGGACTTAGGTCCTAAGTTGTCATAAAACACACATCACTAGCTTTTGCTTTTCAGTTGTAAAAAGAGCTGTAGGACTTACGCCTTTCTAAGACTTTTGAAGTATTACTCCAGAGCTAAGCATCCACCTCACCTCACAGAGCAGACTGACTTGCAGCATCACATAATCCCTTACTGATGCTGAAATCACTAAAAAAAAAAATGAATAAACCAACTCATGAATTTTTCTATCAACATGTAGGTTCTACAGTATGGTGCCTATCCCCCGGTAATCAAAAATACCATTATACAACAAGGCAAGAAAGTTCCCCAAATTAAGTGCTGGAACCAAACCTGTTGCCTGACAGCTGAACGATGAAACCATCACTTCTCCTCAGACTACCTCCAGTTTGTTGGCTTTGCTTTGCTGGAGTTATGGGGCTCAAGACAGTCACCTATGGAGGATGAGAGAGAGGACAGAAACCTGCTGTCCCAAAGATTATATTCTTGTGTTTGATATGAAGGAAAATGTGTTTGAGAATTATGCTGACTAAACCTAAAACATTCACGTCTCACAGGGAAAAAAGTAACAAAACAAAAACCTGAGCACTTTTCTATACTCTAGCCATCAAATGACACCTCATTTTGTTTACTGTCCTCTTTTTTTAATATATTCATTACCAGCTATGAACTATTTAGAAGCTTCATCGAATCTGAAACAACACTTAGAAACCCAGAATAAATCTAAATGGCACTAAGAAACTTGCTTTCCAGCCCAAAGCAGATGGCAAATATAACTTTACCAGGGAAGAAAAGAGAAGCAGGGGAAATGTTACTGAAAAGGAGAAAAGAGAACAATCGGAAGTACTCTTGGTGTACCAGAAAGCCCTAACACTAAGCCTTGCCAAAAAACCACAAAGGGAATGTGGGAAAGCTGGTCTCAACACTGGTCTCTGCACTGACATATGAAAAAGCTTCTACACAAAAGTAAGTACAACCCAGGCAACTGAACAAAAGAACAAAATACTTCCATCATTCTCACTCTTTCTTCTACTCCACATTAAACCTCCTTAAGGTAAGTTCTATCCTTCCATCTCTCCATGTTCTGCATTTTCTTCCCTCCTTCCAGGTACACACCAAGGTTTCTGTTCAGAGCATGCACAGGGCATACTGAGCAAGATGGCATAAATGTTTTTTATTGGTAGACTGTACAATGTATGTTGGGATAGGATGATAGGCCTCTTTTTGTTCCAAATCCCAATTTTATCTGGGCACAATTCCCCATTTGTGAAAAAAATATGGTTTTAGTTATTTTCTGTCATGGCTCCCAGAGGCCTCTAAGCATGGGTACTTATAAATAAAAACATATTATTGTTTCTTATTTTGTCCTTGAGCGAGGAAACAAAAGGCAGAAGGAAACAAAACATGAAACTAAACACAACAGCAATTAAATAAAAAGTTTGTCACAAATATTTTGTCTCTAGGAAGGAAATGAAATCCCTCTTTCCTAGTTTACTAAGTTTATTTCTCCAAGCGTCTTGCTTGCAATGTTCTATTATTCAGAAGTATCAAAGAACACTTTTAAGCTACTTGTTCTGATTTATTATAATCAAATCACACAAATATCTACAAAGTGCCTACTTTGCCTATAAAAGTACACTGGAAAAAGCAAACAATCTCCAAAGTCTTTGTCAAGTACAAAGAAGCCCAAAATCTGTGTCTGCCTCTCAGGGACAGCAAAGATTTTTATGCCCCTTCCTACTAACATTTATTTAGGACCTTTGTTATTGCTCCTGTTTCAGCCAATAGCACAACAATCACAGAACCAAAGGACCAGCTACGGTGGACATGATTTGTATTTACTTTTAGCTGAGAGATGTGGAGGTCCTGTTCTTGAATTATTTCCAGTTTTTAATGTAAAAAAATGCAAATAAGGGGTGCTTAATGCAAAATACAAGAACTTCTAGCAAGTAAGTGCTGAAACCAAACCTGCTGCCTGACAGCTGAATGATGAAACCATCACTTCCCATCAGGCTACCTCCAGTTTGATGGCTTTGCTTTGCTGGAGTTATGGGGCTCTAGACACTCATCTATGGGAGAGAAGGGAGGGGAAGAAAACCCACTGTCCCAAAGATTATATATTCTTGTTTGACAAGAAAGAAGAATGGGATTAAGAAATATACTGGCCAAATATCAAGGTGTAAAAAGGTAATTCCCTTTCTAGCTACAGATTGTTAGTGGAATCAATTAAAAATTAAAAATAACAGTGCAGTTTAAAAGTAATGTCTCCAGCAACATAGCAGACAAATAGGACACAAACAAGAGATTGCAGTGCAAACCGAATGACACTTTTTTGATCTGTTTGGTACAGTGACAGGTATTTTCTCTCAGCATATATAAATACGACATGAATAATGTCAAGCAATTTGGTACACTACTTATAGAGAACTTACTTATGAAGCCTGAAATGATTTATCAAGCAGCACAGAAACTGTACTAAACCTTAATTCATGAAACTTCCACCCTAAGAATTCCTTTACTCCAAATTTGTTGGTACTATATCTCCCTTTTTTTTTTTTTAATCACTCATCTTTCCCCTAGCTTGTTGAAACTGATGGGTTTGAGATCACTTGTACTGATCCCTCCAATTAGGCACATGGTCTAACAGGCAAATATTCGTTTCAGCATGAAAACAAACTAAAGCACATACTGAGTCTTTTCATGAGGTGAATCATCACACTTAAACTAGCCACTAATCAAGAGGCATTTGTGCTATCTTATTGCCGAGAACACTAAAGGAAAAACAAAAGAAAACCCAAAACAAAACCACATAAAAGCTAAAACAAAATCAACAAAACCCCTTTTTCTTTCAAACTTGCTGTACACTGAAACAAAATAAAATCCTCCTTTGCACTTCCAACTAATCTTGCACAAATCACATCAGGTGTCTGTACGCAAACACAAATGCAGTTTTATGTTTGCTATGAAACATTCTACAAAGTTCCTGATTTTCACTCTTGAGACATTAGCTTTCTACATTACACACACAAACACAGCTCCCCACTCCCAAACAATAGCCTGGAATTAAACATTAGGCCTTTCTGTGCCTCATGAATTCAGGCAGCTACAGCCTGAGTTAGATTCATCTATTGATGCTGCCCACTCAAGCAAATCATTCTAATAAATTCAGTGGGCCTCAATCTGCAATAGTCCTCAGCCAAATAATGACCACATCAGTACATAAGTATGTAAGTTAAGTATTTAAAAATGTGTATTTATGAATATTTCAGTGTAAGTTATAATTTTAGACATAGAAACATTCACAATTTTTTTTTCTCTGTTACATACTCCCTCAGGCCATCAAGTCAATTAGAACTTTGTACCTCGGTTTCAACAATCTTTCGATCACTGACTTCAATCAAGCATTACTGAATTACATTTCAACAAATGTCTGAATAATAAGTCGCTTATAAAATACAAATCTGCTAATTGATCATGACTTACAAAGCAATTTTGCAGCAAGATATATTCCTGATTGATAACCCCATGGAGAGTCACGATGTGTTCCCAGGACTACTGACATTGAAACAGCAGCCTCTCAATCACATCACTTCAGTTCAGCTCCAAGGAACTGGTCCAAATCGGGGACCAGAGACAAAAAGCAAGACACAAGCAGTAAAAGGGACAATTCACACAAGGCCAATTTGATAGTCCTCCAGAGAAAGGAGCAAAGCAGCGAAACCAGTCTTCTGCTTTGAATTTCCTACTATAATCTCCTTTTTCTCCACAAACTACAGAGAGTGTTTAGAGACATAAATACCCCTCTCCCCGTTTTAACCACAGAACTTGACACTAAAAAGCCACTGATGATACAATATTGTTGTGCAGCACAAGGAAACCTATTACATTATTAGAAGAAAGCAAATTGACAACATACGTTTCATGGTCCCATCTTCCTCTTCGTCGTCATCGCTATTTATTACCATGGTCCCCAGGTCTGATTCCAACATAGTGCTGTTGTGCTCGATCATTGTCTGGGCGCCTTCACTCATCGTACTTGTGGCTCTCATGGTGCCAGCGCTCTCTGAGTTGGTCTTTACCATGGTGTGAGAGTCCAACTCATCTTCATCCTATGGAGAAACATTTGCCAGAACGCAGAAGATCATTTAAAATAAAGAAGTTAACATGCAATCACTTAGATCCTTATTGGTTAGTTGTATATCTTTACGTGACCCAGTTGTACTGCTAGATTTCCAAGTTTAAAGCTTTAAAGGAAATTACAAAAAGAAAAAAGAACAAAACAAAAAAAACACCACACATTAAGGAAAACTAAAAACTTTCTTACAGATGCATGGCAGGGTGAGTATAAAGTGGCCTACTTTGTATCAGCATCCAGTTCTAAGTATCTCTGTGATTTCCATGGCCCATTTTACCTCTCTGGGTTCCAAAAATCAGTACCACAATTTATAGAAAGTGATTTGGTCCCTTGTTTTACAAGGGACCAACAAAAGGATTTGTGCTGACCACCCTTAATCAAGCATCAGGCCCAGCATCTGACATTACATACAGTGGCCAGATGACAAGATCTTATTCAGTTTAGAGATTAAACAATCCTCCAGCAGTTTCCAAAGTCCCCCTCAGAAAGAGAAAAATCGACTTCAAGTATTCAGTTCCCTTTTAAAACCTCTGTTACAAGAGTGAGCAAATAAATTGTTAATCCTATGTATAAAAATACCCATCCAGCACACACTTACCCACTAAGTGGGTGGGGAAGATAAAACCATGAAGATACACAGTAGCATCTTGACTTGGTAACAGTGCTAGGCCAGGAATGTGAAAGGGAACTAATGACAATACAGTTAACAAAACATAATACTCATGTTTTGAAAACACTAATGGAAAATCCCAATGCTTTCCAAATTCAGATTAAGCTTACACACACAGCATTTAGCTTATATCACAGCATTTCAGGAGTAATGTGATGGACTGTGACTGTTTCTATAGGAGTAAGAACTATTACTCAAGGAAAAAAAAAAATTAGACATTCTCCTTTGTTGATTACATGTAAGAAATAACACACATCACTGTTACTCTATGTCAAAATTAATCTATGTCAAATTGTTCAATTTTAAATAACAATGCTACTTTCACCAGTTTTATAATCCTATAGGCATGCATTTCCTCTATTGTGTCAAAACTTCGAGTTCCCTTTCAAACAAACTTTACCCCTGCTTAGCAAAATATTTTCACTACATAGCGTGAAAGACTACTGGATAACACTGTAGAGTTTTTTAATTTGCCCATTACAAATAACATGCTTGATGCTACATAGAATCATAGAATTGTTTCGGTTGGAAAAGAAAAATTGCCCTTTTTCCTACATCTTTGTGTTGCTTTATAGATTTTAAATTTTTAACTATGAAGAGACTTATAAGGGCATGGGCTGGGGGAGACAGAAAAAATAAACCCAAGACTCAAATGTCTGCAAGGTCTGGCACTTTCTATTTCTCACTGAACTCCTTCCTTTCCTTTCTCCTTATTCCCTGACACAGCAGACAACTTGCCTCTCATACAGGCACACAAACACAAGCAGCTCCATTGTCAGAGTACCTGTTTTACTAAGGGTTGATCTAAGCAGAGACAGTGAATTGTAGAGAGTCGTAATACTAATACACCAGCTCCTGAAATTAATTCTATTACATCTCAACTAAGAGACACAAAAATAGATTTAATTTTGGTTCAGAAAATCTGGCTAACAGCATACCATGATGAAACCAGGATAGAGACCTACATCTGTGATTAAAATTCCAAATGTCGAAATACTCATAATTTTCCAGACTATAATTTGTTAAAATCTTGAAGTTCTTCATTTGCATTCTTTCTGGGAGTTTTTTAGTTGCATTCTATTTAGTACCCTATCCTTAAAAAAATTATGATATCCCCAAAGATACAGTTAGCTTACAGCTACAGCACTTGCCAACTGTACCAGTTAAAAAACTGAGAATATTTTGGTACTGCTCCTCCTGGTGGCAACCTTAAGTTTCTCTACTTCCCTGCACCAAATGTTCTTGTTAACCCATGTTTTCTGTGAATTATATTTTTCCCCTTCTAAAAAGAGTACTCAGAAAACAAAGCGGTTTTCTGTTGCATTTTAAAAGTGCCGGAACAGTTCAGCTACTCTTCCCAAGTGCTTCTTTCAGTACTGCAAAACAATGCAAAACCAACACACTACATGCTGCTGTTTCTTGTATTAAACACTAAAAATGTGGCATCTCTAACATACAGGCAGGCAAATCTCTGAGTTTAAGGCAGAGTTACACTTGATTTGCAGATTTGCTTGACTAATATTAATATACATTTGCACTGCATATGATCCTGAACTTACCTAAACTGAAATCAGAAATTAAGGAAACATTTTCCTGAAGCTCAAAAGTTTTATTTCAGAAGTTAGGAGGGGGAGAAAGCGATGGTTAACAATACGAACAAGTATGAAATGGAGTAATAAGTGACCATTTTCATAACTTCTGCTTCATTTACAAAAAATTGATCTTTTATTTCTTCAATCAAACCAAGTATCTGGACTTGTTCCAAAGAGTAGCATTTATTTTCCAGTCTAAGAGTGCCAAAAGCCTTTGCCTTACTCTTGCCTCTCAGCATAGAGAACAGTTATCTTTTAGTACCTAGAAGACTAAGGATCACAAAAGCCCTCCTCAGTACTAACAGAACAGTTGTTCCAAGGAGGGAAGAACACAACAACTTTGATGAATGGTGTTTTCCCTAATTCAGGAATGATGTACAGAGACAGAACAATATAAAACTTTTCTGTGTCCTGGGCATGTCCCAGAATAATTAATTTTGTGGGTTAGTACAGAGTTTTCCCATAAATATCCTTCCAGTATTTCTCACAAATATGACATTTAGCTAATATGGCAATAGATTATACTGGATCTGAAAAAGTAACTTTATAAAAATATCCAGTGGATCCAAGTTATGGAAGTGCATATTTATATGAGAGATGAAAGTGATTCCTTCATACTAACTCTGACTCATGCTTTACAGTTAATAAATATTGAAGTAGAACTTCTGATCTGTTGTTAAAAGAAGGTAAACTCCCTGATTAAATAAAAACAAACATAATATCGATTTTAACGAGGAAAAAAAACATAAGGCATTAAAGATGAAATGTCATGTTCTCACATTGTTTATGAAAACAGATCCAAGAATCAAACAATAAAAACAGCTAGCTCTGGAATTAAACTGTCTGTTGTTCTCCTGTGTACAAGAAATAAGCACAGGGACGGTTTCTGTTACACCACTATACAGCAACAGAAGGTGTGCATGAGCAAGGACTCTGAAATCTCTTGAAATGCTACAGAAATTACAAGAAACTACAGAAATTCTGAACAACATCATAATGTAAAGCACAAGTAAAACACTCCCAGTATCCTGCAACTCTATAGGACTAACTTTCTGGATCTTCTTCTTTGCCAAAAAAATGTTATAATTAACAAAACCAACCTTTGAAGCAAAAAAATGCAATCATGGAGATTTGATTATCAGAATATAAAATTCAGAAAGACTTCAGCAGAAACCACACTCAAGACTTAACAATATGTTTGTAAAATAAACGATCTAATCATCACACAGAAAGTTTTCTCAGAGAAATTGGCCTTGCACATCATACCCAAGTCTACATCATGATAGAAGTGAATAAGCCGAGGTGATAAAGATTAATGGATTTTTCTGTTGCATTTTTAACATTGATAGGAAAAAAGGGATAAGGGCGGATAAAGAAAAAAATTAAAGAGAAGAAAATATGGCAGTAATTTGCCTTTAAAATCTCTCACTCTAAGTCTGGCATTAAAAAGAACACTAGAGGGCAGCAAAGACGGCCAACTCGGCTGCAAGGCATTAAAGGAAGATTTACACACTGGCAAAATTTAGTATCCTGTAAAATAATTTCATTTACTATTAACACCTCATCATCACCTTTGAAAAACGTAGCTGCAGTCACAGCTATCTTTTTTTTAAGCACTGTAGTAGTTACATAAACACATAATATAATTTGGTCAAGCACAAGGATTTTGTAAAGCTCCTGACACATACAAAGCCAAACTACAACCTGAGTATATGGTTAATACTGAGCACACAAAGCTTAGACCCATCAGTAAAACAGGTAAAACCTTAACTTTCAGCACACAGTCAACTCCCATCAAATTCAACAGACATATGACATAAAACAGCACTCAAGCTTTTTGTATACCTCCATCAAACTGATACACTGAGCATCAGTGACTTGCCGTGCTTTCTTACCTCCCTATGTCTTCTCTTTCTATAACAGGTTTCTGGCTCTACACTGCTGTGGATTTTAATAATATGCTTTATTTCACTCACCAAAGCCATCTTTTCATATTTCTAAATTCAGGACACTTAAAGGGCTGCAATCAAATTTAATTAACACTTAAGTGTTCTTTGGCTTAAAGGAAAATGCTACAAAAATAGAGTTTTGACACTGCTGTGCAAAGTTACACATATATACAGACAGATACACAGCTATATCATATACACATACAAACACATGAAGGAAGCATGAAAGTAAATATAAAAACCTTCGGAAAAATATGGCATGGTGTTTAAGATTTAAAATATGGAATAACTCAAATGGTTCACTAGTTCCTTTAAAACAGCTCCATAAATATTGTAAAAATATAAAGGAGTAATTACAGTAATTATTTCTTAAGGTCTCAAAATACAGATGCCAATTTTTCATAATTAATATAGGATTAACCAAATAAAGTTTTGTATGAATGAATAAATAATCCTACATATAGGAACAACTGATATTAACAGCTGGCTTTGGTGTTGATAGATGTCAACCTGTCAGTGTCCAAGAAAAAGCAAAGGAGTACTAAAGTAGGAAGTCCTTGTTTTACTATTCTAAAAGAATTAAGCATTTCTCACATAATAGGCACATTAAAATGTAAAAGAAAATATACAGAGAGCTCCTTGTTAGCTCATTCCTTTAAAGATCCACAGAAACAAATATTTAGACATGTTTTCTGTGAGCTGCCAGGCAACGAGTTACTTTACATTCCCATAATACAGCTGCCCAGCCTCAGCATCCAACTCACATCACACTTCAAAAAATGCAGGAGAGAAGAGATTGGTCATGTTTAGTAATGCCTAAACTAACATTTAAACTTTGATATTGGGATTAACCTTCTGCAGAACACACCACTTGCAATTCTTGTTTAATTAAAAAAATCTGTACAACTACCTCAGCAGTCATCAAAACATGTCAGTTTGTCAGAAGGTATTCTCATCACACGAGCAGCTCTCATAACAAGCATAAAATCAATTCTGAGTACACTATTTGTAATGATATTGTATGTCTCTGGATGGCTACAGACATGAAGACTGTATTCAACCTGTCCATTTATTTACAGCCATATACTAAGAAGTTTTGAACAGCAAAAAATATTTATATTACATTTGACAACTTGGAGTGCTATAAAATGTTCACAGACAGTGGTAAAAAAGAAAAATAAGAACCAGTTTTAAGGATGTGACTCTTCCTTACTTGAAAGAAATAACCTGAATTGACCTGAAAATTAAGTACATAATTGTGAAATTTTTGCATCTTATTATTTCTCCAAAACCACCCCCTCCTCTTGGAGTTATGCCAGTCACTTTAAACTTGAGTGCCCATTACGATACAATATATGGCTTTAAGAAGGAATAAAGCTAAAAAAATCTTATTCAAATATAATTGTTAAGGTTAAACCTGGTTTCCTAAAATAAACGTCATAGTTATAACATTTTACACCTTTCTTCTTGATGGGTCCCAAATCACGTACCAGGGATCAATGAACAGAACTGGTCACACTTTACCACAGGAAATTCTTGGGGGGGTTAGATCAATAAATTGAATAAATTCAAGTCCCAAACAGGTTAGCTGCAACTATTCTTTTTCAATGGTATATTAACTCAATTCACTGCCCACGAGAGACCTTTAACATCAATAGACGCTACTTAACACTAACATCAATGTTTGCTCTTGCTTTTAGGTGTTAAATATGCATTTCTCCAAGTCTGAATCTGCCTTTGCAATTCTACGGTGAGGACTTCACAGCGATATTAGTGGGGAAAAAAAAAAAAACACTTTTGAGGTGTTATTTTCCAAAATTTATGTGCTGGGCAGCTAATACTTTCCAACTGAACAGTGACTCCAATTCCATATACAATCTGAAAACATTTACAGATATTAAAATATGAAGAAATATAGGCATTATTTACTGTCACTACTACTACACAAGGCAACTTAGGGACTGTCATTAGCTCTTTCTAGGACTACTGCCATCACTACAGGCTTATTAAAACCTGTATTATCGTTTGAACTGCATGATTGTGTAGTCATGCAAACTACACACAAGCAGCCCTGTATTTCTTCAGGGTTGTGTGAAACTGATTCATAAAAAGGAGGAATGTGCAATGGTTATTTATTGTTATACTTGAATGCTTGGACTGTTGACTTGATCCACTACCAAACTGTGTATCAAGTACACCAAACCAGCACTCATATTATCTGCCTTCCCTTTCCAGAAAGGAAAGAATGAACACTCAAAAGTACAGAAAGAATTGATTTGCTCTTTTTCTGTCAGTTCCACAAGCAAGTTCCAAATTAAATGAAAGACACAATCTTTGTGCTTATTTTCAAATCATGTATTATTTCAAATTGAAGTGAAGGCCCTGGAGGAATTGATTTTTTGTGTTTCTAAAATTACAAACTGAGATCAGATTCTGGTTAATTCAGGCTTCACTCACAATTAAGTGTTGCTCAGCAGTTTTCTGCTATGCAGTACATGATCAATGTGCATTCAAGAAACACATTACAGAAAACTTTGATTAAAAAGAAAATGGTAACAGTTTCAAGGAATCATAGAATGGTTTGGAGTGGAAGGGACCTTAAAGATCATGTAGTTCCAAGCCCCCTGTCATGGGCAGGGACATCTTCCACTAGACCAGACTGCTCAAAGTCCTATCCAACTTGGCCTACTACACTTCAGGAATGTTCAGGGGCATTCACAGCTTCTCTGGGCAACCTGTTCCAGTGTCTCACTACCCTCTCCACAAAGAATTTCTTCCTAATATCTAATTTGAATCTACCTTCTTTCAGTTCAAAGCCATCACACCCCTTGTTCTTTAACGACATGTCCTTGGAAAAAGTCCTTCTCCAGCTTTCTTGGAGGGTCCCCCCAGGTACTGGTACAAGTTTACACTGCTGTTTCCTAGTTTGGTTGCTTTTGCACACTTAGCTAATCAGAACCTTCAGTGACAGTAGCTGGACAAGATTCTAGTGTCATCTCTCAACTGAATCTGCAATTTCTTACAACAGTGTACTGCACTGGAACTCAGTTGCAAAACAGAGGAAGTCTGTATTACAAGCAAACAATTACTAAAACCAGTCCAAAACAAGATTTGCTCTGCATTGTGACACAGAAAAGCTGTTCACAGGTCACTCCCAAACATGGAGTTTTGACAAACTGTATTAGTCAACTAGGAAATCCCTCCACCTAACCTCACCATCAGTATTCTCTATTTCATTCACTTGTACCCTCACCTTTCGTATTAAAACTATTTCCATAAACTACAACTGCTCTTATTTTTAAGAGCAAATCAAACTTTTAGCAAAGGTGGCCAATTAAACTAATTAGGGCCTGCATTAGACAAAGTTGCCAGAGGTGAGTGATCCTTTCCTTCTCCTCTGCTCTGCTGAGGCCGCACCTGGAGTGTTGGATCCACTTCTGGGCTCCTCAGTACCACAGAGACATGGACATCTACGAGAGAGTTCAACAAAGGGCCACAAAGATGATCAAGGGACTGGGGCACCCCTCCCATGAGAGATGGGACTGTTCAGCCCGGAGAACACAAAGCTCATGGGGGACCTCATCAGTGTGTGCAAATATCTGAAGGGAAGGTGCAAAGAGGCCAGAGACGGGCTCTGTTCAGTGGTGCCCAGTGATGGGAGCAGAGGCAATGGGTACACAGTGAAACACAGGAGGTTCCCTATGAACAGCAGGAAACAGTTTTTTAATGTGAGGGTGACCAAGCATTGGCACAAGCTGCACAGGGAGGTTGGGGAGTTTCCCTCCATGTAGATATTCAAAAGCCATCTAGACACTGTCCAGGGTAGCCAGCTCCCTGTGGCCCTGCTTAAGGGGGGCTGGACAAGAGATGACCTCCAGAGGTACCTGCCAAACTCAGCAATGCTGTGATTCTGCTCCCTCAGCCCTGCTAACCAAATATACTTCTGTTATTTTCAGATTTGACACAGTTACCTTCTACACTTAGTGACAAGCAGAGTCTTGCTGTCTTTTTTCACTCATAGCGTATTCCGTGACTGCACCACAAAAGTACATGGCAAAATTCCCAACTTCTGCAATGGCAACACAAATAGGAGATTCCTGCCTTGGTCCTGGATTTCAGGTTCCCTTATACTAAACACTGAATGGGTGGAAGCACGGAGGGAGAGAGTGTGAGGGGGTGGTGGAATGCAAAGTGCAGTATTACATTCTGACTTCTGTACTCATGCAAGAAGCATGAGGAGTTACTAAATGCTTCTTCAGCTGAGGTGAGCCAAACTCGTGTTATACCCTTCCCTATACCCAGTAGTGGGTGAGGCCACATACTGACTGGCACGGACTGTGCCTGGCAATCTGATTCTGCATACAAACCTCAGACTAAGTAATTAAATGTCATGCCTAACTTTGGGTTAATGCAAAGACATCAAGAATGCCCAAGCATTTGAGGTCTACAGTTCAGAAGGCAATAGTAGGGACGAAAGCAAGCTAGTAAAGACATTAGTTTTTTATGTCAGTAAAAGATCAGTCTCTTCAGAAATCAACCATTCAATATGTCAAGTCACAAACATCAACACTGTATGTCAAGTCACGCACAGGAAAGTTTTGTAACATTAAAAAAAAAAAAAATCCCAACCATCCCTGCCTGTTTTATTACCAGCTGAGCAAGTACAATCCAAAGGAAACCATCTTTATAAACCCAAGCTATCAATACTCTTAGAACATACTCCTAGAGGACAGAAACATGCAGTAAACAAAAGATCACACTGACTGCTAGAGATACAAAACACTCCACATAATCTGCTTGAAAAGTATTTCTACTTATAGATCATCTGTACCATACCACATACCACTCTGTAACAAGGATTCTACAACTTGCTACAGGGCAAACTGCATTACTGCACTGCTCTTTTCTGTTTGCTCAAAGCTGTAAGTTCTCTACTAACATTCCAGTCTCCATCTTCTCCATGTGCTATTTCCTGAATACCTTGGTTCTCATTGCATGTGTGGTAATACACTTCTCTTTGAAGCACATACTGCTGCCTTGCACAAGGCTGCCCTGAAATAAACCATGTAGGAAGAGTAATAATGCCAGGAACACGGACTTTAGAATTGCCAAACAATTCTAAATGCAACCTACTTATCACATGACCTGCTTCTCTCCTCAAACATATGCTGATGACGTCATCTGAAGAATGAAGTTCCCTCACCATTTTCACATTACAGGCGCAACTTGGTTCAAACCACACTGCAAGTGCTACTTACTGTGTTCTGACTAACTAGTCTGTGCATTAAACTTTACAAAAAACAACCTCCCAAAAACCAAAGGAACACACAAACAAATAAAAAAAACCACATGTACCCTGAACTGAAAACCAAACCACTTGCCCAGAAGTCCACCTGTGAAAGTGGAACCTTAAGAGTTTTTGGGGTTTTTTTAATGTTAGCTTGAACAGTTGAAAGTTTGACATGGTTTCTTTTCTCACTCCCTAAAAAAAACTTTTTACTAGGACATCTCATGAAACAGTGCTGAAAGTTGGCTCATATGGCATTACTCACAGCAGAAGCATTACTCATAATTAAGAGTGGAATACTCAGAATTTGTAGACTTAAAACCACACAGAAAACTGGTAAAGAAAAGTATTTGAACACAACTACAGGAAGTAGAGGAGAAACGGCAACTTATCTGTGAAGTACAAATAGTTACAGGAAAACAGGTACACACCGAATTTTCTTCCTCCTCTTCTAGTTCTCTCTGCTGTTCCTCATGTCGCTTTGCCTTTATCTCCATAGCTTCGGTTATCAGGTCCCTTAAAATTGAAACTGGCTTAGCATTCTTAATAAATGTATGCTAGAGGAAAAAAAAATCATTAAAATATGTAATATGATTACAGTAGTTGTGAGTACTACTCAACACCACAGACTTCAGTGATAAACAGTAATGTACTTTACACAATAATTAAAATCTATACTAACACAACATCCAACATATTTCATGACTATTTCATGACTAAATTTTTACTTTAACTATTTTTAAACACTGCAAGCCTCGGGAAATACAATAATTTAACAAATGTTTTATAATTAAGGATATAACTTTTCAAAGGAAATGTGCAGTAAATAGATAGAATGGTGATGATCTGACACAGAAAAAGAAAGTTTTTCAGATATTCTGTTAGAGAATTTAATTTATCTTAACACACTCAGAGCACAAATTAGTGACTCTCAGCAGCACAACTATGGTTGCTCTTTTAAACAAACCTACACTTTCTATGTCATAAAATATTTCTTGAACTATGATGCTGAAATGTGGAACCTTACTTTTAGTAGGAAGATTAATTTTTAATTCATAGCCATTTAAAACATCACTTCTTCCTTTAAGACAACATTTGCATGATATCACTTACACTCATTTTGCTGTGTAATAAACATCCACTGTTAAAAAAAATCTGATTTTTGCATCGTTATATGCAAAAACAATTTAGGCAAAACAGAACTAAGCACCTCAAAAATACATCATTAAATATCAAAAAACTGTTCCATGAAGAACAGAATTGATGAAGCTTTGTATCCTATACCTATTATCTAACTTCTCCCTTGATTTATTAATTCAATAACTCTCTGTTTCTTCTATAACCTTTTCCCTACAAGCAGTACTTTCATTCCCACTCACACACACAGCACCTCCAGCTCCACCACACATGCTCCCAATTCCAGCTGGGGAAAAAGGCAACATGTACTTCTGATGAACGTAACATTTGGTTTTCTAGTCAGTAGGTATGTGGAAAGAAACTCCACACTGAAGTTTTTTATTGTTTGTTCCTCCTTCCTTGTACACAGTAATGCAAATCTCTTCTATCCAGCTGCTGGTATTAAGCTAACTATATGAACTTCAAATCTTGAAGGTCTCAAGTACTGATTCATGCATCACATGGAAATCTATCATTTTTACTCACCTGTAGTCTACCTCTTGCTGTTTTGCAGTGCAAAGAATTAAATATTCATAACATGACTTTTGAATTTGATGGACCTATTACCGGAAAATACTTTGCAAAATTTTTATGTTCATCCTTGTAGTGGAGTTCATTGGAATTTAAATTTTAAAAGCTGCTATTGCTAGGTCAACACAGAATAAATCTAGCATGAGAGCCTTACAGAAAGAAAAAGCCTGGCATATCATGCCTTGGCTCCAAAGGTCCACACTGCCAACTGTGTCTCACATTTAAAAGTGCCCACCGGGTATAACTCAGCCCAAAACCAAGATCATTATACTGTCCATTTACATCGGACCCTTCTAAGACACAGAGTAACCTGTCTGTTTAATTTGACATGCCCACAAGGAAAGACTGAATGTACTCCATGGGTGGTCCACCCAGAGCGTAACTTGGGCTCAATTCTTTTACTTAACACTTGTCTAAATTCTGAGATCCACTGAGGGCCTCTAACCACAAAGCAAGGGTCCAATTTTAACAGCAAGGACCAGTCCTAAACTATATAAAGAGCAATGAATTTTTAGAAGCAGTAAAGGAGAAATAAAATGGGGGTAGAGATACAGGAGCTGACAGAGAAAAGGCCACAAAGTGGAAAAGAAATAAGGTATGATAATAGTTAAAATAAAAACTGCCCTTAGAAATTTTCAGAACAGTTCAGGTTTGAAGGGGAAAAAAAAAGCCATAAAACCTGCCTTTCCTCAGTAACTTAAATACTGACCTGTAGCAGCTGGGTTGCTGTAGCTCTTTGTTCAGGATTTTTCACTAAGCATTTCTTCACAAAATCAGTGAATTCATCGGACCAGAGTTCTGGCTTCCGGAAGGTTGGAGGGGGATTTGTAGGAATCATAAAAATAGCCTAGATAAAAATCAAACAATAGCAAGTTTAAACAAAACACATCATCACAGCACTGAAGCCAAGAAAAAAAACAACTGCTTTATCCAACTTTCTTATCAGGCTAAGAATCTGTAAGACAAATTTTAAGTAAGCGAGGATTTCCACTCAGATCAAGATTCAGGAAGTAAATCCATCTGCTACTAATGCAGCTACTTCCCATTAGATTTTCTCTATTTAAACGGTACCCCATCGAGCACAAGATTCGTTATTTAATCTATTGCTATTAATCAATCTCAAGAGATTATTATTATACTCTTTCAGAAATTCTTAGTAGAAATGACAGCACTGCTTGTTTAAACAAACACATATGAAGTTGCTGTGAAAAGCCAAGCTCACCTTCTCCTCTCTTAACTGCATCTAGTTTTATATGAGAACTGCTCAGGAAATTTGGGAAGATTACTACTTCCTTTTGCATTCATAATTCATCAGAGGAAGCTTTAAAACTTGCTTTTCCAAGTAACATTTAGAAACACACGCTACAATACCTAAGACAACACCTTAAAAATGACATAAATAATGAAGTAACTTGTCTGCTAGCACTAAGAATTTACATGAAATTGAAAAGGAAACATTTTACCTACATAACAGAAATTTCTTCTGTCAAGAACCATATGCACACAGATTTTTCAACTAGTAAAAAACATTCATGCTATACAAAAAAATGTTTATCCTACCTAAGATTATATACATATTGTTCCATTTTCTATATGATTCTTTCCGTGTTTTCCTCAAATTATAAATTTACACTTGTAGATGAAAAAAAAGCCATACAATTCTGACAGACTACTGCAAAACAAGGAAAAATTTTAAATTTCTGTCTGTAATACCTCAAATGCATTCAGTATCATCACTTAAGACTTACACTGTTCAGAGCTAAGTCTATTGACACAAACAATAGGCTATTATTAACTTCTAAACACAGGTTCCATTCAACCACATTTTCCAAAGTCACAGGGACTAAAAGTTCTTCATTTGTTTTTCTACAAGCATATGCAGAAATACATATTCAGAAAATGGGAAAACACTGAAATAGGAGACTATGCACACTTTTAACATAGTAGAGGCACCAGAAGCTTCAGCCCGTGTTTGGAACACAGGAAAAAGGCAGAGGGGACTTCATGAGGTTTTATCTATAACTTCTTAAGAAGTCTGACTGCCCTTGAAAATTGGCTGAACTCACTCAAACTCTCATTCAAAAATTCTTCTCATATTCCAAAGCTAAGTGGAATCCACGCAAAATGACGCAAAAACTGTTTTCTATAATTTTAGTGAAAAATTAGTTCACTACTGAATAGTTGCTTTAATTCAAACACTTAAGCGTTTACAAAACTCATTTCATTATCTGCCCAACACAAAAATCACAAGAAAAGACCTGGTCATTTTGTTTAATTAAGATGTACGCTACAATAAGTTTATATTTTCAGTGGGCAGCTGTGCCAAACTAGTATATGGACTCAAGAGAGGAAATGTGGCACTCAGTAATTGGCCTTATCTACTTCATTTATGATGCAAGACTGTCAGTACAAGTAAAGTGCTTCTGGCATAAAGCTCTGGCTAACAAATTCAGCTGTTTCTGTCCTTGAAATTAACGATTTCTTCTGAACTTTGAACTGATGACTTTTGATCTTATCTTCAGCTACTCTTAACAGCTCACTCTGCAGTAGCTATTGAAAACACACAGCTGTAACAGAAGACTAAGAACTTCTGTTTAGGTGGTGTCAAAATGTGTACCTCCTATTTGATAATAAACACTGACCTATCTCCCACAGGTAAGCAAAGCTTAGTTACAGAGTCCTACTCAGCTCCACAGTTCTAGGAAAAATATCTGCCTTTACCAGTTATTTTCATGAACTACAAAGCAGTTAAGAACCACAGCAAAGTGACTTTTTAAATCACAAAGGACAATGAGGAGAAAAAAGAGGGAATTCATGAATCTAAGGCAGACAGTAAAATTCACAAAGGAAGATATTCAAGTCTTAGTTAGGGCTCTAAATCCACATTTATACTTTGTATGTTCGCTGGAAATACCTACTTCAGAAACATGTATATTTATGAAATGCCTAAACTGTAGACTTTTTTAAAATCTTGCCATGCCACATGAGTTGTGTTAGCTGGAAAAAAAAAATTAAATGCAGTTTTGTAATACAAGAAAACACACAGAAACTACTTACTCCACATGTTTAGTCCAACTTGGTAGTCATGTCATGTTCTTGCTAGTGTGCACCTCTCCCTCCAGCTCTCAGCACTGCTTTCCTTAACCAGCCTAAAACACTGGTTTTCAGTTCCATCTTCCCTCTCTAACTAAATCATTTTGGCTTCCATATTTCTCTGCATAAAAGTTAAGCTCCCTCTCTCTTTCAAAACAGTCTATGATTCAGCTTTCAACTACTTTGTATCCTTCCAAGAAGCTTGCAAAGCAATCACTGGAGAATTATAAAGCTAGTCCCAAATCTCCAGGAATAAAAACAAAACATGTATCTGACAGGAACTTTTTCCTCTTTTTTGCTTCCACTTCTTGTCAAACAGATCTTTTCTATCCTAAAACAACTCAATACTCTTTTAGAACAAAATTATTTCAGTCACTCTGTTCCATGGGTGCCAATGGAAGTGGGAAACCTAAGAGGTTTGGGTTTTTTCATGTTTTTTTCATCTCACCCTAGATTTTTCCAGTCCCTGTGTTTTCTCAAACTATTACTTGTAGTATTTTTTTGCTTCCACTCCTGGAGTTATTTTCTCAAAAGTTTCCCACAGCTATCGGTATTAGTTTAGCACTCACAGTAGGGCTGATAACAGTGCTCATAGAGCCAGTGTTAGGCAAGTGTTGCTTAAAAGACAAATCAAATACAAGCTACCATCCACCAATTACATGGGCTGAACTGGCAGTAACAACTGCAGGAAATATTAGGATGAAATTGTTAAACAGAGGGGGTAGGCTCTGACACACTATGAAAGAACTGGGGTTAATTCTTTTCTCTCTCCCACCTTCAACACCACCTTCCACACCTCCTTCCACTTCTAACACAGATTGACAAGTCTTACACGAGTAACACATCAAATATGTCCAAGGCATTAGATTCTATAACTCAGTCTTCAGTTTTAACCATTCAATCATATTTAAAAAAAAAATAAAATAAAAAATCTCTAAGCTGCAAGATGTCAGAACTCAGGCCTGAGGGATCATTGTAACTTAATCTGTGTTTGTCTTCACCTGCCTATAATAAAATTGCCCATTCCAAATTTGTGCTGAACTGGCCCTTCCACCTCTAAACGCTGAGCCCAGTCAACTTTGAATAATCTTTCACACACTGGTCCAAGGCAAATCCTACACTCTGGAGTGAAACCAGAAAGCAAGGCAGATTATAATTTACACATGACAAAAGGGGAGGAAAGATCATCCAAGGCAGCTTTTAGGGCCACTTCTGAATTGGACATTAAATAATCCATCACAGTTTCTACCATACCTGCTGCCTGGTAGCACTTACCTGCCCAATCACCAGCAGTTACACTTAACCTGAATACCAGGCTGAGGACCAGTCTTAAATGAGAGCAGAACTCCGCAAGTCTGCACAATGTTCTTTTTATTATTCTTAAAGGGCTTAGTATTTTAAATTAAGCCCAGGCTAAAAACAGGGGATTTTTTCCATGAAGGTTCTTTTACTGACAGTTTTATTGGCGTGAAAATGTAATTATGGTGATGATGATGAATTAGGAAACGCCAAAAGAAAAATGAGACACTCATGCACCACACTTGGAAATTCCTAATCAGAAAATCCTTGCAGCTCATTCTTCCTGTCAGTCAGGGTAATACATTCGTATTCTGCATAGCCCACAAACACATTAAGTGATCAACAGCAATTTGGTAGAGGTACTATGTCTTTTGGGTTTGAACTCCTGAATAACTTACTTCTATTGCTTAGTTGAAATTAATTACTTGTAATAAAAAGTAGAAAATCAGAAGTATAACTTTCACTGTTATTATTTGCCTAGTATCATGAATGCTACTGAAGGAGTGCCATGGGTATCTGTGGCTGGGTTTTGGTAGCGTGGGGGGCTACAAGGGGGACTTCTGTTAGAAGCTGCCAGAAGCTTCCCCTGCTCCTATGGAGCCAGCGATAGCTGGCTCCAGGACGGACTTCCTGCTGCTGGCCAAGGCTGAGCCAATTAGCAAGCATGTAACGCCTCTATGATAATATATTTAAGGACAGAGGAGTGTTGTGCAGAAGAAAATTCCAGCCCAGGAACAGCAGAGTGAGAACATGGGATAACAACACAGACACCAAGGTGAGTGCAGGAGGAGGGGGAGGGAGCCCTCCTCTCCCCCAGGCACAGGGGAAGGGCTCAGGGCTAAGGCCCCTGCAGCCCATGAAGGACCATCGGGCTGCAGAGACGCCCCTGCAGCCCATGGGGGAGCCCATGCTGGAGCAGGTGGATGCATAAAGGAGGCTATTACCCCGTGGGAGGCCCAGGATGGAGCAGGGTCCTTCTGGAGACCTGTGGCCCATGGAGAGGGAAACCCACACTGGAGAAAGTTTTTCCCAGGTAGGACTCCTGGCCCTGTAGGGGACCCATGTCAGTCCAGCTTATCTGTGAAGAACTGCAGCCCATGGAGGAGTGACCCACAGGACAGCAGACTGGGAAGAACCCCTGCCCGAAGGGTGGACCACATTTGAGAGGTCCATCAAGGATTGTCTCCTCTGGGAAGGACCCCATGGAAGCAGGGGAAGGACTCAGAGCTATGGCCACCCTGGAACCCCTGGTTAAGACCATGGAGACACAGGTTGTCCCCCTGCAGACCATGGAGGACCATTGGGGTGAGAGAGACCTGAATGCACCCCATGGGAAACAACAACTGACTGCAAACCCCCACTGCTTCCCTGTCCCCCCGCACTGCTGTGGGGGGAAGGAGGGAGAGTTGAGAAGGAAGGAACGTTGGGGAGGTGCTTTTAACACTGTTGTTTCTC